GACCTATCGGTTCACTTGTGTGAAATTGAAGATTCCGAATTAGAGGAATTTTTACCAAGCTCATCAAAAGACGTTAATAATAGATAGAAAAAGTGGGAACCCTCGATCGTAAATGGCATTTAATTGTATAAAAGAAATATTTTTATAAGATCTTCATACTTAAAAAAAAAATGAAATGACCCAAAAATATAAATAAATAACGGTTAAATGTTTTTGATAGTTTTTATATGCTTTTTATTTTTTTTTATGAAGTTATTTGGCAATGTTATTGAAAGAAAGTTGGAAATAATTTTTAGAGTTTTTGCACGTTGTGTTTCTCAGAAAATCTTTGAGACGCAAAACCACCAAAGCGATATTTGGAGGTCCTTGTCCGATATTACCTATATTGCAGTATTTCTTTATAAAACAAGTAAGTTTTTGTTTTCATACTGCCATTTTCTACCCCAGCCAGTTGTTCTTTGGCGATGTACCGTGGCTCATCATGTTCTTAGCGAACGATATGGGCGCATGCCCGACGACTGGAATTTAAGTGTGCTCTGCCCAAATCCACAGGAAAGGCGACCCCGCCATTCGCGCCAACTACCGCGGGATCAGCCTTCTAAGCATAGGTAACAAGGTCTTATTGAGCGTATTGTGTGAATGACTGAGGTCCACCGTCAACGATTTGATTGGGCCTTATCAGTGTGGCTTTAGACCTGGCAAATCCACCATAGACCAGGTATTCACAATACGCCAAATCTTGGAAAAGACCCGCGAGAAAACGATCGACACTCACCACCTATTTGTCGACTTTAAAGCCGCCTTTAACAGCACTAAAAGGAGTTGCCTATACGGCGCTATGTCTGAATTTGGCATCCCCTCAAAACTCATACGGCGATGTAAAATTACGTTGAGCAATACCACCACCTCCGTCAGAATTGGAAACGAGCTCTCCCAGCCGTTTATTATCAAACGGGGTTTCAGACAGAGCGACTCCCTTTCTTGTATTTCTTTAATTTGATGTTGGAGACGATAATCAGGCGGGTTATGCAATTCACTTCCGAGTGAATTTCAACCCCATTCAATTTGAATTCAAAGTGGCTTTGGTTGAGATTCACCCGGAAGTGAATAGCAGAACCTGCCTGAATAGGAGCTGCAGAACTGAACCGCTCAGGAACAATTTTTTTTTTAAAGAGCGTGCAATTTGATTGCTGGCGTTCGCCGATGGCATCGACATCATCGGTAACAAGAATCGCGAAGTCTGTTCTGCCTTTTCCAAGTTGGATAAGGAGGCAAAGCGGATGGGTTTGGTGGTCAACGAGGACAAGACGAAGTATCTCCTGTCATCAAACAAACAGTCAGCGCATTCGCGCCTTGGTACCAACGTCATTGTTATCAGTTATAATTTCAAGTAGAGAATTTCGATTACTTGTGAACCAGCATTAACACCGATAATACTGTCAGCATGGAAATCCAACGCAGAATCACTTTTGCCAACAAGTGCAACTTTGGACTGAGTAGGCAATTCAGGAGTAAGTTCCTCCGCAGGCCGAGCCAAGACGTACGCAGGCGGTACGTGGTACCGGCTCGTGGTAGCATTGGCAAGGCCAATAGGTAAAGGTCTTGGCTTCACCTGTCATTTACAATAGTCGTCAGTTGACACCGAGTAGAAATGACTGGCGTGATTTATTGAACTCACTGAGGCGGCTACAGCACCTAAGAAAGAAGAAGTTAAATGTAATGATGGATGAAAAATAGATGCCCTAAAAAGATTTTAACTTCGCCAACGACAAGTCTTAAATAAATATTCAGAATATCGGTAAAATGTACTCGTATATAAAGACCAAGTACCATAATGACAAGAAAAATGCCTATTCCGGTATCCGACGGATGCATTGCAATTTAAATAAATAACAATTGTATCCACTTTTCACTTTTGACATTCCCCAATGTCATGATAAACTATGTGTATATGATTACTCTGTTCGATCCACAACTGATGACTGCTCAGCACAACGTAAAAAAATGTTAGAAAACGATTTTTTAAGAGCCACACCTAAAAAAGTGCGTTGGGCGTTGCGCCTGCCTTCTTCTGACTTATATAAAGACAGACAACAGATATTCCGTCTTATCTTTGTTTACCACCAGACATATTCACTTTGCTTGCACGACCAACTTGAAACAAGCGGAACAAACTGTGTGAATTTTAAGGCTGATGATGTTGATATCAATTCAAATATAGCGGGTTATAGGCAACTCCATTCGTGCGGTCTAAGGTTACTTTGAAATCGGCAAAGAGATGGGATGTGCCAATCCTCCATTTTTCCAAATTCTAACGGATGGCCAATACCTGGTCTATGGTGGATTTACCAGGGCCCGAATGATTACTAGTTTCGAATCTAATGAAATGAAATAAAACGACAGTTGTTTTCTCTCCAATGCAATTTATACTGAACAAGCGGACACTTTATCGAGTGACGTAATCACAAAATTAAATGTCAAATCGAGTTCAATTTTATCACGGATGCGGTGATTCGAGTCCCGATCTTAAGCCAACTGATAGCCCTTATCAGTTCGTGGATGGGGGGCTTTAGTCTTCCAGACAATACGCTGCGTTTTCATTTTTGTAACGGCTACTTAGCCCTGTCTAGAGTCGGCGAATATTTCAAACGTTGTCGTCAAACACAACTAACGGTAGCTGCAGAAAATGTTCCGTTTTGACAGCGTCGGGAGTGGGGTGCTAGATTAATGGTTTTAAGGGGCATGTGAAAAGGAGATTAGAAGCGTCATGCGGGGAATCTTCCCATTCGGGAAATACGTTAGGTAAGTCGAGGTCGATTCTAGATAGATAGGAATATAACCTGCTGCTTTATCATTGAATTCCGACGACGGCATTTACGGGCCGAGAGCGAGTGAAGGCGCCCACGACATTCTCACGACAGCCGGTGCTATGTACCAGAATGACTGAGTTTTACCCGAACAAGGGCTGTTGTTGTGGAAAATTCACTTGTTTTGTGACAAACTCAAAGAACGAGAACAGCTAGCAAAAGAAATGTAACGGTATTTCAAATATCAAAGATTTTGCAGCTCATGCTGGGTTTAGGTTAAAAAGTTCAAAAAAAATAATAAAAATCAGGTCATTATAAACGCCTCATCGAATGAATGATATGGAAATGGATTTTTTGACGCAGGAGCAGCGAAGTTCGTTGCATACTGTTTTCAGGTAAAAAAATAAGCCAATTTAAATTCTTCTGTTTTTATGTGGTTACCACATTTGAATTACAAAATAAGTACAAATACATAATTGTATTTCGAAAAATAAAAAGAAGAGCTAAGAATCTTCCTCTCGGTTATGGCCACAAAAAAGCTCAATGGTCATTGATGAGCAATAAAAGCTGTATAGCGAAGGAATTAAAACGCTATCGTAGTTTGTCTTTAATTATTTAGTTCAAATATTAAAAATACCAGCATTTATTACTAAAAAGATATACATTTTAATACATTTAGTTTTCAATTTTTTTTATTTAATTTTAAACTCACTTATTAACTAATTCACATGTACCTAAGTATGTTTGTATGGTAAGAATGTGTGTATATGTATGCATGTATGCATGTACTGTAATATACACATTTCTAATATAATATAATTCACAAGCTTCTTTTCTGACTGATTAATCACCGATAACCTGAAATGGTCTAAAAGATTTATTTAAAATACGTTTTTCATTTTTAAGTTAATATTAGGTTTTACACTATGCCCAAAAAATGTTTGTTGTCATATAAACTTTTTTGGAAACTTTTATCGAGTATAAATATGAAAGTCATTAAATTCACATCACTCACGCCACGTATGTATGTATGTACACACTGCAATACAAATTGTTTATATTTTACTGTTATATGTATGTATGTTTCTATGTAAATATTATGGCTTTACAGCTGAATTCAGTTCCGTTCTTTAAAAGCATCAAAATTGTGAATTATCAGATTTGTAATTACATATTAGGGCTGAGTTTTGAAAACAAAGAAAAATAGTAACTAATATAGTCGTATAATATTAAAAATACAGGATATATGCATGTAAGATGTATAAAAAATTTTGAACAAAAAAGCAAAATGAATTTTAATTCTTTCCATTGGTCAATTGAGGTGGTAACTTAAATATTGGCGTTGGTAAAAATGAATTATTGTAATAAGTAAACAAATAAAAAAAAAACAATAGTTAGAAACAATAAAACAAGTACCAATGTATGTACATATGTACGTACGCATGTATGTTAGTTTGTAATATGCTTTAATGCTATTTATTTTATTAAATTTTTTCGAATATAAAATATAACCACACACATACCTAGTACATATGTAAGTAAGTAGTATATTGGTACAGGCAGTAAGAATTTAATGGATGTCATTGAAAATGATAAAAAAAAACTTAACATTAACGTAACGAACAATATAGTTTTTAAACATTTTGTATGTAGTATGTATGTATGTATAACGTCCCTGACGTTGAAAGCGACGGCATATCACCTCGTAGTACTTATAACACTTTCCATACGAAGCACGCACGCGCATTATCTTACCGCAACTTCCCTTTGGCCTCTAACGTTTATCAACTTTCATTAATGGCACCGAGAGCCTCGTACGCAACGAATGATGTGTGGTGTTGGCGGGTGCAATTGTTGTTGCTGTTGTTGTTGAAGAAGTATTGTTCGACAAATTTTTGGAGGATGTGGACTTTGGCAGTGTTTTTTCTGCGGCTTGATTGCTGCTGTTGTTGTTGTCATTGTGATTATGGCTGGTACTGGCAGTGCCTGCTATGGACTGACGCCTGGTAACCAATCGCTTTGGCAGTGTTGTCGTTGTTGTTGTTGTGCTGTTTAAATTGCTAGCTGCAGTTGTAGCTGTTGTATGTTTGCCACTACTGTTTGTAGTATTATTGATGCCATCGGCTGATTGTCGCAGCGCAGCTGTACGCGTTGTTGTGCCGCCACCGGCACTGGTGCTGTTGATGTTGCCTTCTGTGGTGCGAGTACGTTTACTGGCGGGCGGTTGTGGTACATCTGATTACATTTTTTTTGTTTGTATGAAAACGAAAATGAGGTTAGGTATAAATTAGAGAAAATATTGAAAAGTTGTTGGAGATTAAGTTTGGTTTTTATCAAAAAATACTTATATATTTTTCTAATTTGTATATTACATATGGATTTTTGCACCCGTAAAAGCTTATTAGGAACACTTTTAATCGATATTCGCTGGCTGGAGTTTTACACATACAACTCTTAAATATGTAGTACGCATGAAAATAGAAAAAGTTTGAATTCAAAATATTACAGAGACCTATTTGAAGGACTGCTTTCAAATGTTGCGCCCAAATGCAATTGAATACACTTTTTAACAGCGGCCCAGGTAACTGAAGAGACGCCTTCTGAGTCTATTCGACTTAGTACTAGCAAATATTTTCTTACACGACCTGAAGACACCCCTTCTCAATAATCAGTGAATATACCCGTACGTAAACTGTTTGCAAGCATGGAATGGAGTTCGCTCGGAAATCGTGTTGTTGCATAAAAATACAGCTATGAAAAAGGCGAAATATTTTGCATGTTTTGGCCCCTAAAAATCAACCGAAATTTAATTCGTTTTACCGTGAAGTTAGTCGAGAAGGTTGGTAGAATGGTCGACCGACCAAAATCCAGTCGTACCCCAACTGTGCGAACACTAAAAGGCATTAAAGCCGTAGAGTATCGAATTTGTTCTAAATCTGATTTTCGAGCAGAAAATCATATCCCGGGAAATGAATATCAGCAAGAACAGACTGTCGTATATCATAAAACATAACTTGGGGATCAGCGCATATAGGAGGCATACCAGGCAATTTTTTTTTTTTTTTTTTAATGGTAACCAGGCACAAAACAACGCTACATGCCGTCCATTGTACTGTTTTCATGTCCCTTTTAATCTCTTTTAAATTTGCACGATTTACGAATAAACCTAAGCAGATTGTTGGGTGTGAAAGAGCTCAGGTGTTCGTCTCTCAACACATCGCGGCCAAATGTCTCATACCTAATTCTTGTAAAGGCGAGGCAGAAGCACAACAACTTTTCCCACCGTCTCATCCTCTTAAAGGCAGGATGGGCAAATTGAGTTGTCATGTACGCCTATCACAGTCAGGTGTTTGTGCCACGTGAAGTGACCAGTCAGCAGTCCAACAAGTTGTCTGCAGTCCCGTCTGCTCAGCGATAGCTAAAAACTAGATAGACGTTCTGAAATTGAAGGTAACATGAGTTTTGCTCGCCTGAAGCCCTTCGATGCCTCCCAATCATTGCTGAGCGAAGTATTCACCCAGTTTCTGATGGTGGCTTCGATGGCCGAAGGTGGGAGTGCTATAACTGGACTCCACAACAGAGGAATACCTGGTTCTGGCCAAATGGTCAGATGTCTCATAATAAGCTCGGTGTGTTTGCCAACATAATTTAGTCGAGACTTGGATTGCCGAACTAGTTTGGAAGTAGTTAGAGGGCTGGCCAAAGCCTTAAGTGCAGCTTGGCTGTCACTTTTGAAACGTAAACTCCTTCCCCTCCATCTCTTTTCCACAACATAGTCCGTGGCCTTGAGGATTGCAAATAACTCAGCCTGGAAAACCGAAGCATACTCCCCAAGGGTAAAGTGAAGCTTATCCCCATAGCGTTCGATGAAGACCACAGAGTAAATTTTGGAGCCATCAGTGAAGATTCGACAATGTGTGAGTCCAGGCTCAGTGCTGGTATTAAATCAACATTCAGCCTCAGGGAATTCAACATTATAGAATCTCTTCAACAAAGATAATGGTGGCGTACTATCCTGTGGCATTTTGTAAAGACACAAGTGCTGCCGCCAGAAAGCTCCCGTACAGCACGGCAATAATTCTTTGAAGTTTAGCAAGCATACTTCCCACGCTATTGATGAAAAAAAATTAGTGCTGCTGATATTTGCGAAAATTCCATGAAAATTTTAGAAGAAAAAACGCTTCTTTTTTGCAATTATTTATCAATGAAAGACGAAAATTATGGAAAACTAGTTGGAAATGATACCAAAATATTTAGATCTGAAAACATTGCGTTTCTTGCTGATGAAGTTCTTTTCGAAATCTAAAAGCCAGCTGTGTCGACCAGCAGCCAAATTCTAACTTTCAATATCGCTAAAATGCTAAAATACAATTATTTAGCTATCTCCAAAAATTGCGGTTCTGTCCTCCTTTTCGCGAAAAATAGCTTAGCCTAAATTTTTTGGTAATAAATAGTCCATTTTAATGGTGATAAATAGGGAAAATGGAAGTAAATATGTGAAGCAAAAAAATAGCAGCCTCAATTTGGATTACATTTCATCTCCGTAGCGTAGCCATGGCTATGTTACAAAGACACTAGCGCCGATTCGCAAAGACCAAAAGCAAATTTGAGCGAATTTACGGATTGAAATTTCGACATTTTTTTGCTCAAAGTGAATAGAGCTTTGAACATCCTTTTTACAAATTAGTTTCAAATACATTCGTATTCTTTTCAGGAAGTTACCAGCGATTTTTGGTAAATGTGTCACAAAGCAGCATTTGTATTCTGAATATAAATAATGTCGGTGGAGAATTTGGGAATACTGAAACCTTAATTCAAAATGAGGTATTTTATGAAGACTAACTGCTTTAGAAATCTGTACTCAAGGCATATCTGTGAGACATGTAGTAAATATTGTTTTTTTTTTTTTTTTTTTAATTTAGGAATTTCGATAATGCCATAATTCATCGCTGGAAGAAACCATTTATGTACATGTGACCATACTTAGTTTATTATGTAGCTCATTTTAAGGGGGAGGAGGTTGAATATGGTAAGAAAATAACTTGGACAATGTTTTTGCGTACTACATATATGTAAGTACTCATCTTTTGAACATACAAAAAAAAGTCTGTTTTACGAAAGCCAAGCCATGTTTTCACATTTTATTAGCTGCCTTTACACTTTTTTTAACGTTTGCCATCTTTTTACATTAAAACAATGCAATATTTTAGCAGCTATTAGTTTCGCACAGAAAAAGTATGTAATCATTTGACCTAATGTGCAACGGAAAGAACATAAAAATCAAATTGGTGACTCTTATTTCTGATGTGCTAATTTTCGTGGTTTTAACGTTAAAACATGATATATCCAGACCTATAATCGGCTAGGGGACTCTTAGCGAATTCGGAGGAAGTATGTATCGTCGATGTTTTTGCAAAACCGCCCTTTGCCCAATTGCAAAACCGCTTATCTTAGGCCGAGGCCACGCAATGAGCGGCAAAGCGGCGAGCGGCTGAGCGGCTGAGCGGCTTAATTAAAACATATGGAATACTATTGAAGTGGCCATGCTCTAAGCGGCATTTTTGTATGGCGCCGCTTGCCTCTTTGCCGCTCATTGCGTGGCCTCGACCTAACGGCACTCAAGTTTTACAGGAGAACGAAAAAACGGTTTATTCTTTGAAGGCATTGCCTTGATAGGCGGTATTTTCTCTAGCTATTATTTTACAAATCTGTTGTTTTAATAACGATTTAATGATTTTTATGCATAAATCTCGATGCCTGGAGTTCAGGGTTATTTTTGCCACAACGGCGATTTAGGCGGTTTTGCAACTGGTCGATGGGCGGTTTTGCAAAAACATCGACGATATTCAACATATTATTCCATCCGTGACTCAACACTCGAAGAAATCTTCAATGAAGTGAGCACTGACAGTGACTTCAAAGGAATAGTGTCGACAAGGCCAAAACCTTTCACTCAAGAAGCAATAAATGATTTGATAAGGAGTCTATAATTATCTTCTACATTTAAAAAATAACTTGTCGACGTCCGATACAAAGGTGACGTTCTGTCGTACAAGAGAGCAAGGCTTGCGCAACCACTTTTTTAATTCAGAAACTTATATTGTTTTTGTTTTTTTTTAGACGTGCAAAGCTTTATTCTGGAAATGGATCTGACAGAATATCATAAATACATTTTTAGTCTGAAGAGATAAAATTATATCGGCCCCCCCCCCGCAAATAAAGTTGTACCGAATAAAACATTTTTTCAAGATCTTCTTTTTGGTTGTTTGTGTTTCCGGGTAGGTAGGGTAGGAGTATGATGTATTGTGGAACGATTTCACGTCATCCCTTGTCCCTTGCGTCAGTTTATCCGGATTTCTATCTGCCGGCACATGCAAGCAACCTAAAACCACCTACCTGCCAAACAACGGAACATAAACTGACGCAATAACGAAAACCAAGAAAATAAAAATAACGGATTTCTACCCGCCGGCGAAAACAAGCAACCAAAAAGCACATACCTGCGAGATAATGAAACAAAAGCTGACGCACTAAGATGGGTATGCATGACCTAATGACAGTTAATGCAGATAGTAATACGAATACATAAAAGCGGAAGGAAACACGAACGCCGAAACCGGTTTGTCTCCAAACCAAATTTGACAAGGAATGACGGAAAATCGTTCCATAATACATCATTTTTTCAAGACGCTAGACAAAAATGCGCAATGTTTTTTTTATATAATGGGAGAATCTTCTGGTCTAGGCACAGAAAGATGAGACGAATTTGGAACGTCCTGCGTGGAATTTGTTTGTTGAAATTACAAAATCGTAAACGAAATGCTAGAGGACTTTAAAATCCTGGAGTGCTCTACCAACTACACCGTAATCTATAGTCCTATACGAAACAACAAGTGGAGCGCTTTCACCAGGACCTATTTTAACCTATGGAAGAGAGGCCGATGGGATCGTCGTATAATGTTCGACTACTGCAAAGGGAGGATTATTTCACTACACCTCATTCACAAAACTTGCGAAAAGAATATTTTTATGTACAGAATAACGTAATAAATAGTGTGTTTTAGCTCAATTTCCATCGCAATTGTGTTTACCCGAACGAATTTTCCGATTGGAATGGATCAGCTGTTGTATGTATTGTTGTATGTCGTGAACTCTTAAAACTTAAGTAAATGTTTAGAGAACTTGAAACCACAACCAACTATTTTACAACACTGAGAAAATGCATAATATGACTC